TCCATGTTTTTGCAAACTGAGAAAATCGATGTCAAAGTTTGAATTTGTTCGCAGCTAAATTGAAAAAATATTTTGAGAATTTAGGTATTTCCTAAGATTTAAAAATGTTTTATTATTAATTTTTAGATAAAAAAAACTTTTTAAAATTACGCTAACGCCCTTTTTTTCGCACCCTCTTTTGGAGATAAAACAAAATAACTTTGGTTTTTAGTAAAATTCAAAAATATTATGTTGTTACATCATATATATTAAACATATTAAGTACATTTTTCAACAACGACATGTTAGAAATTGATGAAATTTTGTTCTACCTGCTAATTATTCTTACGCAGTACCATACACTCCTAATTTATGGGCATGGGCCCCTAATTTAACGGGACCCTTTTCAAAATATAAGACGCTTTTTGTATTACCTAAAAAATTAAGTTTTTTTAAATAAAATGAGGCCCTAATTAGGAGAACTTTTAGAAGAGCCTCTAACGACACTGTTCTTACGACTTACATTTACTTTAATTACCTGTAGGCGCCGGCCCTGGACAAGACTAAGACGTCTAATTTAAAACGGAAAATTTGGCTGCGTAATAATAATATAAACGTATTAATATAATATAAACGTATAAAATAAATTATGAAAGGTATATAGGAAAGAGTTATGTTAAAAAAAATGTAATAATAAAAAAAATAACATTATGTAACTATCTGATAATTCACAACAATTCAACTAATCTAATCACAAACTCCATGCAAGATGAACTTGATTTTATTTTTCTTATGCCTGTGTATCCATTAATAGAGTTTAACTTTTTATTAAAAGTTATTGCAAATATTTACAAATAAAAAATTGTTACTCAAGTTAACGTCAGGAAGGGCATCAGGTTGTGAAACATTGCTTTAACTCTTTCATAGTGGCCTTTATGTCACTATGGAAAACCATCCAAACCAAACAAGTGGGGGAAAATGAATATAAAAGTACAAAAAAACAAACAAAAAAAACACAAGCTAAACAAAAATTTTTATCAAGATTTCAAAATAATATTATTTCAATGTGTTTTATATTTATACTTATACTAAATAAATATTTTATTTAAATATGTTATTTATATGTATATTATTTATATTATTATATATATATAAATATGTTATTTATATTTATACTAAACATATAACAACCCTAAAAATATTTTGACTTTATTAATGTTTTGTAAATGTTCAATTTATTATTGTTTTATAAAATGTAATATCAACAGCAGGCATGTATGAATACATGGAAATGATATCATTGGCTTTTGCAACAGATATAGACTGATAAGAAGCACGAAAGCAAGCTGCCATTGGTATATTGGTATTTAATGGTTTTGCAACAATGGTTGATGCTGCTTTCTTGACAGACTTATTTATACAAGCTTGTGAATAATTATCTGAAAACGAGGTTTTAAAAAAAACATGGTATGGCAGTCCGTTTCGATAAACAAGATTTTTAACCTTTGAATAAGGCACTAACTTATAACTTGACAAACCAGCGACAACTGAAAAATTCTTTACATCTCCTAATTGCATTTGGTAAACACAGAAAGGTTTTTTACGGTTTACATTTTTAATAGCTCTTTCTAGCCCAAGTGGACTAAATATTTCTGCAGCAGAGAGGGATTTTTCAATCTGACTATGAATGTTGTCACATTCTTGAATGCTGGAATGACCTGGCTCGCAGAACTTCTGTTCAATTACTTTTATTTGTGGGTATCATATTATAAATTCACACAAAGCTGCTGACATGAAACTATTGCGGTTTTGTGGTACACATGAATCGAACCAAAGTATGAACTTATTTATGTCAAGGTCAGCCATGATTTTCAAAAGCAAACATGTTACAGCACTGGCTAGATCATTTCCTCCACGACCAGTCATGGCTTCGTGCCAAAGGATGCAATAACCCTTCCTGTTAAGCGAGCAATGACCAGTTAAGTTATAATTTGAAAGTTTTCGTTTGTAATAAAAGTTTCCCACATTAGCTCTAGGCAAATTTAAAACATTTTCAAGGTCAATACAAACAATTGCAGTTTTAGAATCAACATTTTGGCGATCATTTTCACGTTCAGTTTTGGTATCATTCCTTGATTTTATGTGCTTATTATAACTATCTGTTTGTTCATTGCTTGCATTAACAATGTTGCGATACTCATAGCATGTGTCACATAAATCTTTCTTCGGTTTTTGAAATTCTATATTGAACTCGTGATTAAAGATATAACGATACATATGTTCTTTTGCTGGAGGAGAGACATTTTCATCACAATATATTTTATAAAGATCATACATTCTACCTATATTTAGTGATCCTTCCATGTATTCTTTATGTGTCTTTTTCCTGCTATAATGAGCATCAATTCTTGGGAAAAGGTTAATATGGTCTCGTACAACTTGTTTAGACTCTTCTAGTAACCTTTTTTTAACATGTTTCCCTGATTTTGATTGCAATGGTGTTCCAGTAGTTAAAGATTTATTAAACTTATGAAAGTAAAACACTCTATGGCTGCTAATATTCAATGTTGAAAGATAATATGATTTACAAACTCTATATTGTGTATTAGAAACAAAAAAGCTATAATAATAAGATGTTTTTCTTCTTGAATTGTCACCAGCAGCTGTCAGACAGCGTTTTTTCTCCAGATTTTCAGTAGTTTTAGAATAGAAATGTTTTTTCCGTCATCATCTAAGGTCCAAAAGTTATCAAATATTATTTGACGCTCAATCTCAGATATATTGGTAGAACATTTAAATTTACAATTTCTGCAACTTTTTAGTGCAACAATAGATCTTTTTGGCATTTGTTCTCCTTTCGTATTTTTATAAGCTTTACCCGACTGACGTTGGATTTTTCTTACACTTTGTTTCCAACTACTCCTATCAGCTTTACGTTTCCTAGAAACCCCACCATGGGGCGACCGACGAGAAGGTGTAATGCCAAGCAGCTCTAACGATTAAAATATTAATTTTTTATTATCCAGGATGTATAAATAATAACTTTTAAATTTAATCTAAAATGGCACAAGCGAAAGTCGAATTCTACTTTTCTAAAATTATAATACAAATTAAGTTGAAAAACTACCTTCGTTTTGATTTAGGGCAGGTTCCATTTCTTGGTCAATATTTGCAGTTGCCATTTTGAAAACAACAAAACTGATAAAATTATTCCGAACAACTTTGTAATTGTAATATGATTGGTTGATTGGAGATAGAACAAGATAATATTTTCAAGTTTGCTCATTAAGGCGATAGAACAATGCAATATTGCATGCAATACCGTGTTAAAAGTTTCATTTTTTTTCAATATAATTAAAGTAGAACAACACAATGCTAAAATATTCGAAAATAATAAAATCTCAATTTTTTCAAAAATTGGAGATAGCACAAGATAATTCTAACGTCGCGATTTGTCAAATAGACTTAAGGTTTCAAAATCGTCAACATTCTTGTTACAAAATTCTGGAAAGTGAAAAAAAAAAAAAAAAAATTAAAAAAAAAAAAGAAATTATTAAATGTGAAGGCCCTTGACACTCAATAATAATATTTTAAAAATATTTGTACAATATTTGAATTTTTAAAAATATTGTACGAATCCCTTGATAAGGGGTTTATACAGTCAGGACACACAAAACTTTTCTTCCTTTAAACTTTCCTTTAAACTTTGGTTTCTTAAATCTTGTTAAGGATTTTTCTTTTTACTTATTACTATAATAAGTTATTCATGATTTAAAGGTGACGGAGTACTATTATAAAAATAAATATACGCTTTAAAAAAAAATACTAGCAGACAACAGTCAGCCAAGCAAGTATAAGTCAATGCACAAATTTTGCACTAGTAAAAAAAGTAAGAAAATATAAGTTATATAATGTAAACATAAAGCATTTAAGCAGTTTATGAAAGAAAAAAGTAGAGATATGATAAGATGTTTAAGGAAAAGAAGAGAACCCTAAATAGTAAAAAATGTTTTTTTTTTTATTAAACTTTTTATTTATTATTGACACAAAAATGACTAAATTGATTGTTTTACACTAAAAATTAATTATTTTACTTATTTTTGCCTATAATTTATAAATTATAGGCATAGATTCTGGTGCCCAAGATGGTAAAGACTCAGCTTTATATATTTCAAGTGTATTGAAAATTGCAATTTTGACTGTTAAGGCAGTATATTCCTTTTTTTTTTAACATTAAAAAAAAATGTGTCAATTCTTATCATAAATTTATTGATGAACTTAAATTTAAGTTCCTCAATAAATTCGTGATAAGAATTATCATGAATTATTAAAAAAAAGGGAATCTACCGCCTAACAATCAAAAATTGCAATTTCCAATACACTTGGAATACCTAAAGCTGAGTCTTTACCATCTTAAGCACCAGAATCTATGCCAGTACCACCACCATTATTATTTGTACCAGTAACTATGCTGTATCTCTCATGGCCTTCTGAATCTACACCAAAAATATCTTGCATCAACTATGTCAGCAACATTGTGTAGCCTCAGCTTAAGATTTAACTTCTAAGCCTAACTCCCAAGCTAATTCAAAAAAAAGTTGTAAAGCTTTGCAATCAGCCTAATTGCCTTCAGCAGCTTTGCAAAAAAAAAAAAAAAAAAAAAAAAATATCAATATATTCTGAATAAAGTTGTTACATCAAGGATATTTACATATAGTAACAAATACTGATACGAAGTAAACACTTGTCAAATTCAATAATGATAAAATGGAGAAATCATCGTTATAAAATATGTAGGAATAATAATTATTTTAAATCGCTACAATATTTGTAGCGATTTAAAATAATAATAGCAATTATGTTAAGAAAATATTATAATAATGGTAGTAATAATAACAACAATATTAATAATATAACAAAACAATTATATTATAACAGTAATAACAACAGTAAGAATAATATTCTTTATTATGATAAAGATATAGTAATAATAACAACAATACTAATACCAATGATAATAATAATAATGATAATAATAGCAATAATAATAATAAATAATAATAATAGTGATGAAGAAAACTCAAAGTTAGGGTTATAAATAATAAGTTGTAGATAGGTATAAGATTTATAAACAATATTTTTGGTTAAAGAGAGCAGTTGCAAGTTGTTGATAGGTATGATTCAAGAGATTGAGATATGTATGCTTTTATGTTGTATGAATTCATAGCTGTAATGAACAGTTAAATATTTAGGTACAGCTAATTTAAAATTGCAAGCAGATCGTAGAATATTATTACAATTTTCCTTATAACTAAAAAAGTTAATAAATGTAAAAGGTAGGTTGTTATGATTTTGGTTCCAAGCAAATAGGCAATTTGATAGCTGAATAAAGTCACAATTTAAAAACTTAAGATAAAAAATAGAGTACGCTGCAGCTTGAATTAGTATGCTGGAAAAAAAATTAATTTTAAACCTTTATTTTAAAAATAAGTTAGTCTTAAAAAAGCAAGCTGCTTAGTTCTTAGTTTGTCCCCAAACTTGACATGCATATCTGAGATAAGAGTGGAAAATAGAATGATACTTATTAAGCAAAGTTTTATGATTAATATAATGATGGATTTTAGATAACATACCTTTCAATCTACTTAATTACAATGCTAAGTCTTAAAGATGTAATGCAAAAAATAAGTTAGTCTTTTTTTGATTCCAAGATATTTAATAAAGTTAACTGGATTTATTTTCTGTCCAATTAATCTGAATTTTATTTACTTATATATTTTTGTTTGAACAGATTTAAATATAATAATTTCTGTTTTTTTAGAGTTAAGGGATAGTTTATTGAAACGGAGCCTTTGAGCAATATTAGCTAGATCGTGATTTACATTTTTGTTAAGTTTTTTAAGAGATTTTTAATTATAAGCAAGTTAGGGTCATTCGCAAAGGGATAAGCAGGAAAATTAAAGTGAAACATTAAGTCATTGATAAAAATAGAACAAAATAATGATCCTTAAACCAAGCTATTTGGAACACCATTAAAAGATTTAGCTAGTTCTAAATTGATTTAAACAAACTGTGTTCTATTACTAAGAGAAACAAAAAAACCTCTAATACCGTAGTGTTGCAATTTTTTTTCAACTGTATCAAATGCTTTTTTCAATAAACACTCCACATGTAAAGTGTTTGTTATTGATGGCTTGTCAAATTTTCTCTGTTATTTTTACTAATGAATGAATTGTTGAGTGTTATTTCTATTAACGAATGAGTTGTTGAGTGCAAAAACCATTCTGTTGTTTGTAAAGACATTTATATTTTCTCAAAAAGATTGGAATCTTTGAAACATTGCTTTTAAAAACAGTTTACTTTAGTTAGAAAGAAGGAAATAGGCCGATTATTGAAGTAGTCTAGAAGAGAAACCATTTAACGTATAGGAATTACTTTAGCTACCAAGTTTCTGGAAAGTTTTTGAATGAATTATTCATCATAGTACATTAAGCTTTGGAGATTATGTGAGATGCCAGCTTTAGAAGAAATAGGCTATTGGCAAGACTTAATATTTTCAAGTACATCTTTTATAAGATTACATTTTCAGTCACAGATTCAATAAAAAAAGAATTAGTACTAGGTATTTTAAGAAAGTTGCCAAAAACACATTTAGAGGGAACAATTTTTTTAAGTAGTTAGTCTTGAATAGTTTCAAAATAGTTATTTAACATATTAGCAACGCTGGTATGATTTGAGATGAAATTTTTATTGATTTTGAGACTAGATTAGAAATAGATTTAAGGATACCAGAAATTATCCAGGGTTTAGATTGAAGTTTGATTTAAACATTTTCAAATGTTTTAAGGAAAAAAATTTATAGATTCATTTATGTTATCATCCTCTATTATGAGAAGTTTCCAGTTAATATCAGAAATTTCCTTGGTAAAACAAATGTTCTCCATCCAACAAGTTGACACACAAAACCACTTTGATGATGATCTGCAAATAAATCAAGTAAGAAGAGCTATTTAACAAACATCATCAAATCAAACGGTAAAATCTAATGGTTAAACTGACACTGATTGTGGACTTTAATTAGGAATTTTATTTATTATATTATGTTATGCAAATAACTTTATTTTCCTAATTTTTACAAAAAACAAAACAAAATAACTTACTATTTTTACAACGTTTGTGCAAGTAGGTTCTCACTTTTTAACAATAATTAAATAATAGAGCAAGTTCAGCACAGAAAATAGGAGTAAAAAAAATATAAATAGAGTTAATGTAATGCACATTAAGTGCTGGAAGCCGATTTTCCTTGTTTTATTGTTATTTTAGGAATCTATTTTAGGAATGACCTAACTCTAGATGGTAGGCAGCTTTTTATACTAATACTAGATGGTAGTCAGCTTTTTATTCTAACACTAGATGGTAGGCAGCTTTTTATACTAACACTAGATGGTAGGCAGCTTTTTATACTAAATAGTTATTAGAATATTATGTTGGGGCTTATTCTTATTTATTTTATTTATTATTATGTTATCTTATTCTTAGCAATCAATCAACGTTTTCTGTTTTTAAATTTTAAATAATTTGTATATCTTTTAGATGACTTTGCTTTTGATGATGAAAATGGAGTTATTGATTTTAATGGTAAAACTCTTTATGAACTCTTCCACAAAGATGATAATTTATACAATGTAACTTGGATAATGAAATATCCATCAATGAAACGTATTGATGTTATATTAAGGTTGCCTTTCAAATCCTGGAAACAAGATAAGAATGTAATAGTGGTCAAAGAAACGGGGTAAAAAAAATTTTCATATGTATTTTTATTAAAACTTTCACACTAAGTTTTAGAAAAAAAGGTGTTTATTTTTAAAACCTTACATAAATTAATATTTACTATATAAGTAAGTAGTATTCATAAATTTCTTTTAGTGATGTTTAAAAACTTATTTTTTGCATTTATACTTATTTAATAATTTTTTTTTAATTTTTAATTGTGATTTACTTCTGATGGGTTACACTGCTAATATATGTATATATATATATATATATATATATATATATATATATATATATATATATATATATATACATATATATATATATATATATATATATATATATATACACATATATATATATATATATATACATATATATATATATATATACATATATATATATATATATATATATATATATATATATATATATATATATATATATATATATATATATATATATATATATATATATATATATATATATATAATATTACAAGGTTATAGCTATGGTTTTATAAATAACTCAGTATTAAGTTGCATCATAATAGTCTTTAAATTAATTGTTCCAATATAATCTATTTTTTTAATCTTGTTTTTAAATTTATTTATTGTTTCTTGTATTAGTCTTTGTGAAGTTTCTATTGTTTACAATTCTGTTGGGAAAATAAGTGTATCTTGGTAAACATGATTTTATGATCTGCTTTGTGATGGAGTGCTGATTTCTTGAATGCAGTTGGTTTGGTATTTAAAGAGCTTATGCAATTGATAGTTTTGAATCTCTTGTGGATTTTATATTAATAGATTAGGTCACCTTTTGCTCTTTGTGTTTCTAAAGTCATAATTCCTAATCTTTTATGTCCGTCTTCATAGCTTTAGTTTCTTAACTCATTAATAATTTTTGTCGCTCTTATTTGTATTTTATGTCACTTTTTAAGTACCAGATTACCAGACAGGACCAGACAGGCACTACATATTCCAAGTGAGCTCTTAATAAAAATAGATACCATTGTCTTATTACAATTCTGTTGTTACTTTTGAACGTTTTCCTTATTATTCTTAAAAAGTTGTTTCTTTTATAAGTTACAGTTGCAATATGTTCCTTCCATTTAAGATCTTTTGTAAACAAGTCTTTTTCACCCAAGTCTTTTTTTTTTCAATTGTTTCTATTTTATTTTTATTTGACTTGTAGCTATAATTCTGGTTTTTTTGACACTTTTTTGACATCTGGTTATTTTGATTTTTTTTAACATCTGGTTATTTTGACTATAATTCTGGTTATTTTGACATACCTATGCATAATGCATAAATATATATACAGGGGTTATTCTAGACTGTTTTCTACAGTGTCAACTGTATTTGGGCGCTGCCCAAATTAAAATTTGAGGACTTTTGCCCAAATCTTTTTCCTAGTATAGGCCCTGATATATATATATATATATATATATATATATATATATATATATATATATATATATATATATATATATATATATATATATATATATATATATATATATATAGATATATAGATATATATATATATATATATATATATATATATATATATATATATATATATATATATATATATATATATATATATATATATATATATATATATATATATATATATATATATATATATGAGTTTATTAAAAAAGTGCTAAAAAATAAATAAATAAAGAATAAAATAAAATAAAAATACAAATCTTTAAAAAAATCTTCAATTAACTTTTCACTTTATAAACATTAATTTTATTTAACTTTTAGAATGCATGGCAATTTCAAAAAAATGTTCAATCAAAGTTTTGACGATCATTTTATAGGAAATGGGACAGTAGAAATCTCTTTATCTGGGCTTTTTTCAAATGACACTAGTAACTTAAATTTGGAGATCAAATTCCGTCCCTGGTGTTGTATGTTTTAGATTTTCCTTGTCTTTTTTTTTGTCTTGTAAACTTTTATAAACAGTAAAAAATATTGTTTCTTGTTTATCGTTATTTGATTATAAACATGCTTGTTAAGCATGTTTATAATCAAATAATTTTTATCAGAAACTAGTTTTACAGCAAGAATTACAAAAAATCATGATTAAACAAAGTATTTATTTATAAAATATATTAAACTGTGCAATTATTTTACAAATGGTTGTAGTATTTTTTAAATGACTAGATTATTAAAATGATTATTAAAAAAAAAGGAATAAAAATAAAAATGAAATACTATTACTTTAAAAAATATAAAGAATATCAGGAAGTATAGAATGATAACATTAATGATGTAAAAAGAAAGAAAGATTTTTTGTTCAAAAACCCATGATTTTTTTGTTTGAAAACCCATGATTTTTTGTTCAAAAACCCATGATTTTTTGTTTGAAAACACATGATTTTTTGTTTGAAAACCCATGATTTTTTGTTTGAAAACACATGATTTTTTGTTTGAAAACACATGATTTTTTGTTTGAAAACACATGATTTTTTGTTTGAAAACACATGATTTTTTGTTTTTAATTTGTCATGTTATTACTAGTAGTTTCTTATATTCTTTGTTTAGTAGTAACTAAATTAAATTTTAATTTAATGATATTATAATTAATATTTTTAGTTTGTTTATATAGTGCATATTATTTTGAATAGAAATTATTTTCTGTTAGTTATTTATTTTTTTCTTTCTTATTCTGTGATATTTTTAGAAAGTGACAGACGATATTATTTTTACCAATTATTATTTTTGATTTTTGTTTGCTATTTGAATTTTTTTTATTTTTTTAATTTCTATAATTCTGTCCATTAATGTTACTATTTTTAATCCTAATATTGTCATCATCAACATCTTGTATTTTATTCATATATGTAATTTTATTTATTATAGTTATTTAGATCATTGCCAGTTGTTATGTAGTTTAGTTACTTTTCAATTGTTTCTAAATGTGCCTCTATATATTGTTTGTGTTAAAATCTCTATATATTGTTTGTGTTAAAATCTCTCTATATTGTTTGTGTTAAAAAATGAGCTTTTGTTATTATTCTAGCTCAAATAGTACAAATTTTTTTTGATATTTAAAAAGTTTTGATAAACAAGATCATTAAGAAATTAAAATAGTTTTTATTAGTTTTTAATACAAGTTTTTGATTTTGATTTTTTTTTTAATTTTCTCTCAGCTTATACACTCAGTTCCATATGTTTTTTTCCAATTTGCAGTTGTTTCCATTTATTTTTGTTCTGAGTTGTTTCTTCACTCTTAAAGCTTTTTTATTTTTTAGTTTAGTTTGTTCTGTTTAAGCTTCTATTTGCTCCATTTTGTTTTATCAGTTTCGGTTAAGTTATGTTAAAGATACCTATATTCCAAAATATAACAGGCTAAACTTGTGAGACTATTTAAAGTACCATTTGTGTCAACCTTATCCATGGGTTAGGTTAACACGAATTATGAGCATCATTAAAAAAATAAGTAAAAAGTATAAAATTTAGAGAATTTTTGAAATTAATTATTATAACCCAAATAATGCATTCAATCATCCACAATGGTTCAAATCACATTTCAGATATCCAGATAGTATACTATTTTAAATGTCATTTTTAAGCAATAATGATATTTTTAAATTAACATAAATTTCTTGAAAATTGACTGCAAATATTAAAAGTTATGATTTTTAGAATTGTTTATGACACAATGGAGTCTACAATTGTAGAAACATTAATGCTTTATCAAGTTACCCCATACTTGCTAATAGAAAACAGTTGCCTAATTTTTAGTATTAACTTGTTTTTTCAATAGTTTTGTTTAATGAAGTAAAGAGTTGTAAGGATTGTAGTTTACAAAATAATAATACTTACTGACACATTGAATAATATACCTTAAAACTTAGCTACTTTAAAATCTAATAAATTACATTGTCATTAAAAAAAAAAAAAATTCGACCTCTCACAGACCTAATGATATCAAATGCTATAATTTTTTGTCAAAATATAGCTCTAGTAGTAACTATTACACCATATAAAAGTTGTTGTCAAAAACCCTTGAGATGCCTCCACAATTACAATATTTCATAGTGCCCTATGTATCATGATATCCTTCTTTCTCCTAAAGTCAAATCAAATAATTTGCAAACAACAAAAAAATGGCAAAATGTAACATTTCTGCCGTTTCTTATTTGATCTTTTTAAGGATTTTGACATTTTCTTGAAAATTTTTTTTTTTTTACATCTTTGCTTCCAACAAGGCTGCAAGCAACCACTATAAGAGTTGGAAGTTATTGGAAGAAAAAAGATGAAGTTTGTAGAGCAAGATAACGAATGACAGACAACTTAAAATATTGCAAATTATGTGAATCAGTAAAGCAAGATAAAGGAAGCGAATTCTAAAGAAAGTTTTTAGGAAAAAAACTAGATAAATAAGAGTTTTTGGAGCACTTAGGACCATTCACAGAAAAAGTATGAGACTTAATTGAATGACGAGTAACATGAGAATAAATTTTAGTAGATGGCACAAGAGACGCTAGCTCTTTAGAGCAGTGCCCATTATAGTATTTGTCGAAAAGTAAAAGAGAAGCAGCATTACAATGATTTGATAATGGTTGGAGGTAGGTTGCAAGAGCATGTCCAGCTATGTTTACAATGCGTGTATGTACCTTGTCTAAAAGAGAAAGGTCATCATTAGATGATCTGCCCCATGGCAACAGTATTCCGTAAAAAGACAGATTTGAGATTTATAGAGATAAAGAATAGAATCTGGATAAAGTGTTGAGCTTGATAAAGAGATGCTACCCTTGCAGATGCAAATTTTGCAATGAATTTGATAAACGGTTTCCAAGAAAGATCAGAAGTAAGAGTTAATCCTAGAAGATGAAGGGTAGATGTTTCATCGAGTACATTACTGTTCATAAATAAGGGAAGATCTAAATTATTGCAATAACGATTGGCTGAAAAAAATTCAGTTTTATCTGAATTAAAGTTCACCAGTCACTGTGAGCCCCATGTTGTAGCAGAAGTGAGATCCTTTTCAAGCTCAGATGCTCCCTCCAAGCAATCAGAGAGTGTTGGGTTCTTATCATGACAAGAATAAATGGTAGTGTCATCAGCAAACAATGCCACCTTAGATGTGAGAATATCTGGAAGATTGTTAATGTAAATTAAAGAGTATAGGGACAAGAAATGAACCTAGAGGAACTCCTGAAATTACAGGATATGAAGAAGAGTGTTGTCCATCGAGGACAACTTTTATACTATGATTGGAAAGGAAGGACTCAATAATCTTAAAGATGTTACCAGATACACGGTAAGAACAAAGCATATGGAGAAGACCAGCATGCCAAACTTTATCAAAAGCTTTAAAATTGTCAAAAACAATAGCCTTAGCCTCTACACCTCTATCTAATGCACAATATAATATATTGGTTATTACTGTTAGCAAATCAGCTGTAAAACAAGAAGATCAAAATCCATATTGATGATCAGAAAGTAAGTTATTAGATTCAAGATGAGAGATTAAGTGTTTGTTAATTAAAGATTCAAAAGCTTTGCTTATGATAGTAGGAAGACTAATGGGACAATAGTTAGATGAGTCAGATGGCTCTCCAGAATTTTTGAAAATCGGGATAACAGATGATGCTTTCCAGCATGCCGGAAAACAAGACTCTGATAAGCACTTGTAAAATAGTTTTGAAAGTAAATATGACAGCTCCGGAGAACACTGCAAGACTACAACAGGTATGTTGTCTGGACCACAAGCTGTAGAAGAGTCTAAGCAGGAAGTCATTTTTGATACAGAAGCTAGAGTGATATGAATGTCAAGCAATATATCAACCTGTTTGATGGCTATATCAGGTAGAACGCAACTAGTAAAATCAAAAGAGGATATAGATGAAAAGTTTTAAGCAAACAATTCAGCTTTGTCTTTAGGTGAGGTGACAAAGTCTGAACCATACAAGAGAGGTGGAATATCAGATTTGCTCTTAATATTAATACTATGAAACATTCTTCAGAAGTCACGAGAGCCTATTTTTTGTGATGAATTACAAGATTCCATGCCATCCTGAATCCACGAAGTTATGTAAGAAGCACATTTGTCAGCAGGAAGACATGATTTCTACCCAAGGGCCATCATGAAGAAAATCATGGAAAGAGTCCCAATCAGCTTTAATATAGTTGTAAGAGGTACAATGATTCTGATGATGAAAAATAATGAGATAATAGTTTTAGAGAGATCAAACTGTGATCAGAAGTACCTAAGGGTGAATGTGGAGAAACAGAGCACTGAATAGGATTAGAAACAAGACATAGGTTGAGTAGAGGAGGTAAATGGTTTGGGTTGTCTGGAAAGCGAGTTGAAAATTTGACTATTTGAGTTAGAGATTGAGAAAGGCAAAAGTTGAGGGCCTTAACACCAGCAAAGTCACTGATATTAGAGCCAAGCCAATCAGTGTGATGAGCATTAATGTCACCAACAACAACAATATTGGCTGATGGATAAAGTGAGAGGGCTCTGTCAATTTGATCAGAAATAACATCAAAAAGAATACAGTATTGAGATGAAGGAGAGCAATATAAAACAAAGAGAAAGGTTATAGAGTGAAGTGGTGCTAAACCAAAGCACATAAAAGAATAGTTTGTGGATTCAAACCTAGTTTCCAGACAAATGGGTGAGTTCTTACAAATGTAAATGCCTAGGCCAAGCATGTGACTAATGGAATCTTTATGAATTAAAGGAAGATAGCTATCAACACTAAGATCACAAGATGAGACAGCTGAACTCAAATTATTCTCACAAAGAGCAAGTAGGTCTGGTGAACTTTGCAAGAGATAAGACTCAACAGAAGAAAAGTTACTTCGAAGACCACGAATATTAGCGATTGATTTAGAGAACTTGGTGATGGCAGTGGTTTTTTGTGTTTTATAGTTTTTGGTACTTAAGTCA